GACCGGCAGCCAGCCGCCCGCCCACCGCAGGGGCGGCCTCAGACTTCGCCACGGTCTACACGGGGAGCCTGAGGCTCCGTCACGGGGAGCATGGAGCTCCGTCACGGAGAGCCTGAAGCTCCGTCATGGGGAGCCTGAAGCTCCGTCACGGGGAGCCTGAAGCTCCGTCACGGGGAGCCTGAAGCTCCGTCACGGGGAGCCTGAAGCTCCGTCACGGGGAGCCTGAAGCTCCGTCACGGGGAGCATGAAGCTCCGTCACGGGGAGACTCTGGAGACGCGTCGTGTCGACACGGGGAGCCTCTGGAGCGTTACAGCTTGACCCCGTTTGGACCGTTCACCACAGGCCCAGCCACACTCAGCGCAGTTCACCCTTCAGTGCCAACGAGCTTTCGGCCGGACCTGTCGGAGTGAGCTCCGTTGCCGTACCAGCGGGTAGGTATACACTACCGGTCCAGCCTGAGGATGTGAGGATATGAGGATCTGTCGGAGTGAGCACCGTTGCCGTACCAGCGGGTAGGTATACACCACCGGTCCAGCCTGAGGATGTGAGGATGTGAGGATCTGTCGGAGTGAGCTCCGTTGCCGTACCAGCGGGTAGGTATACACCACCGGTCCAGCCTGAGGATGTGAGGATGTGAGGATCTGTCGGAGTGAGCTCCGTTGCCGTACCAGCGGGTAGGTAACACACCGGTCCAGCCTGAGGATGTGAGGATGTGAGGATCTGTCGGAGTGAGCTCCGTTACCGGACCAGCGGGTAGGTGTACACCACCGATCCAGTCTCAGGATGAGGCGTCTGCTCTGATGAGCGCAGGAGGATCGGTGCCAAACTCGCCTGCCTCGGCATAACCGAGTGAGGCATGACGTTTGAATCGCCCGTGCCGTTCAAGAGTGCGGAGGCGTGCGCCTGGGCTGGCAGGTGCTATCTTCGAGGGATTTGCCCGGTTGTAATCAAGGCCTTCCTGGCCCTGATTACACAATGTCATCCGCAGCTCGACTCCCGCCCATCTCTGACAGAACTAACCGGAAGCCGGCGCGTGCTCCCAAGCCGTCCCTACGAGTCCTGAGGGTACGAGGTGACCCACAGTCGCTGACAATCGGTGCCCACAACTATCCCTTCCCGCCCGGCAGCTATACGGCGCACCAACCTCAGCGGGCCCCCCGCAGCCGGCGCCGCACACCTCGGCCGGCCGACAGGCAGCCCAGACGCTGGACTCGGCGCCAGCCACCGAGCTGAGCTGGCGCTGACCAGGAGGCCGAACAATGGGGCGGTCAGACGCCGGTCCGGTGGTCGCTCGACTGGGTCCCGCCACCGCACGGAGGACGCTGCCTGAGGCCACGGTCACCCGATACGGCTTGGGAACATGAGACACCAAACCTGCCGTGTGATTCACTGACGCGCTTTAAGATAGCGTAATTGGAACAATATCCCTTCCGCCCAGCCCATATCCCGCCACACCTCAAACATCATTAAAGTAACAGCGTGCCTCGGTGGCCACCGCGTTATACTAATGTGCGTGTCATCGCGTTATAAGTGACCACCTACACACTGGGAGGAGGTCTGCTTCATCGTCAGCGGTCGCCAAGCCCCGATGAGCGTGGACCAGAGCCCGGTAAGAAGGATATGACGCGGCCCGCAGTCGCCAGGACCCAGCCCGTCCACAGAGGGCCCGCCGACCCCTGACACCCTCCCATCAGAGGTCTGTTGTGGCCCCAGTCTCGGCTGCCGCCCGCCGTCCCAGCTCACGTGCGCCGACAGCAGTGCCGTCGCCTGTGACGGCACGCAGCACGTGCCGTCCGGCGCGCCACGTGCCACCGCCGCCGGCCCGTCAGCACGGCCGGCCTTCACCTTGCGACGTGCGCAGGCGAAGCGTGACGGCGGCGGAGGTGCGGCGGCCGGCCGGCGGGAGAGGCAGGCTCAGACAGACTGCGTGGGACGGGCTGGCGTGTGAGGGGCGGACGGCAGCCTGGGAGGCGCACAGACAGATGTGGACAGCGCGTTGGCCGCACGAGATAGGCGAGCGTGCCAGCCGCGCGCCCGCCGAGCTCATTCGAACATAAACCGATCAACAGCGTCGTTGCCCCACCCCGCCCTGCTCCACCCGCCACCAGTGCGGTGAGGCGTCCCACAGCGGGGGCGACAGCGCCCTGCCGTTGGCCGGGTGTGAGCCGCACCGCGGGGCCTCCGTCCGCACGCCGCCACCCCGCCGTGAAGCCGCCGCCCGGAGAGGGGCGGCGGTGCGGCGGCGGCCTCCACACCTGGCTACGGGACGGCTCCATTGGCCCGACCTCGAGCCGTACGGCACGGCGCACCAGGTGAATGGGAGTGGGGCGAAGGGGGGGGGGGGGAGGAGACACCGAGGGCAGCGATACAGACACGAAGCTGGAGCAACATTTAAACGACACCCGGTGAGAAAATCACCGGTTTCTCGCCAACATCAGTTTCACTTCACTGGGGTCCTGAACGGAAATGTGCTGGCAACCAGCGTATTTTGACCAGTCGCCTTTGAAAAAGTGACGGACGCGCGGCGCAGCGCATGCGAGTCACAGGGCCACCGAAGCAATGTCCGCCAAAGCGCATCACAGTCGTCAAATCGCAACGCCAAATACGGAAAAAGCGTCGTGAAGTGCGACACCAAGGTGCGCCAGCAAAACAGCAGAGCATGCAGGCTCACACACTACACATGGAGCAGAGAGCCGGCTCCGGCAGCCGCCGGGCACGCTCGGAGCGCTGGCAATGACAACAAATGCCGGCCGATGAGGCAACGCCGCCGCATGCTGCCGCCTCGTCTGCACAAACAGTCGGATACCCAGACAGCTCGGGTGCAGCGGGGGCCATCCGGACCACCGCCGCCGCCGCCGCCGCCGCCCCCGCCGGCGGCCCGCTTACCCGACGTCAGAAATGGCGCCGTTGCGTAACGCTGGCTGCAGGGCGAGCGGTCAATTAGAAGTCAACAAACACGCGCAGAACCGAGGCGGAGCCGCAAGGAGGAGCCGGGGCGGACGACCGGCTACCAGGCCGGCCGGTTACCGCGGCGCCGGTGCGAGAGCACGGCGGGCCTGCAGCGGTGAGGAAAGGTTCGGGACTGCGGGGTCCGAGACACAGGGTGCGACTCTCGTCACTGGCGACCAGCAGGCGTTTATCCCACTCGACAGGCGATACAGAGGGCAGTCCAAACCATAGCAGAACAAATGAGAAATTACACCAAATAGCACAACAGTGGGTCAATCCATTTCAAAACAGACACGGCCACTCACAACCACGTCGTTTCTGACGCCCGATCATCGGAGCGGCCGCGAAATCCACGCGCCGCTGCGCCGGCCGGCCACCGGGCCTCGCAGCGGCGCGGACCGCCAGCCGTGGGAACAGGGCCGTGGTCAGCGCACGGCCGGATACTACGCTCTGCTGCGGCCGGCGGCGATCCCGACCCCCCCCCCCCCCCCCCCGGCGGGGGAGTGAGCTTGAGCCAGCATCCTGCCTCCAGGCGGCAAGCCTGACCCTACCCTCCCCGGGAACGAGCCTGACCCAGCACGCTCCCTCCCGGCGGCAAGCCTGACCAGACACCCTGCCCCCCCCCCCCCCCGCGTCTCCGGCGGCGGACGCGCCCCGGCTCGCGTCCGTGGGAGCGGCGCGACCGTACTGGCGCGCCTGAACCGCGTGTCGTCGCGCAGAGCCCGGCCAAGACAAAGTCGTGACCGGCGCCCTGACCGGCCCGCACGAAAAGTCCGCACCAGGTGGCGCCCCCATGAAAAATGCAACGCGCACCGTAAGCAGATGCCCGTTTATTGATCACGCTGTCACGAACACATCGTCACGACAGCAGAGCGGGCTTCGTTATCGCTTCACACATCGCATGCATATCAACCAGCTCGCGAGAGCGGCACCTGCGTGGAACGTCGGCACTACTCATCCCGGCCCGTACCGTGAAATCGCTAACAGAAACCTGATCATCCTTGCAGCATGATTGACTGCACACACGGCCTCCGCCGTGCACACAGCGCACGCACGGGCGCTTCGCTCGCTCGAGCCGGCGCTCCGTCAGCAGCAGCGCCGCACACGTGTGTGTCTGAGTCAGACTGCGACGAACGAAGGGAGTGGGTCCGGCTTACGCATGTTTCAAAGCGAAAGGTGCGGCAGTCTGGGCCACTGTGCGGTAACTCTTGAAGACTCTTGATGTTGGGGCGGGGCAGAGAGGCGGCCTTGACCTGACGGTCGGCGGTGGCACTGGGTGCTGCCCCGGGTCAGGGTTCACCAGGAGTCGCCGCCACTGACAGGCCCCGTCCCGCTTCGGTGACCAATATGTGGGCAGTGGTCATCACGACCAACGACGTCATGTGGTCATATTTACTCCGCGGCGGGTACGTCCCCCTTCCCCAGTGGGAAAGGGGACGTTCCCTAGATCCTAGATCCTAGCCCGTGACGGCATGGTCGAAATCGCCCCGCGCATCGCATGGTCAGAACAGATTCGGGGTCTTGGCGGTACACACCATGGTGTCTGGTGTTTTCCACCAGATCTGTCTCGGCGCACCCGCGTGACGCATCGTCCCCATACGGCGGCACACTCACTCGGTCGTCCCCACACGGCGGCACACTCACTCGGTCGTCCCCACACGGCGGCACACTCACTCGGTCGTCCCTACCCCCACTCATCGGCACGGCGGCACACTCACTCGGTCGTCCCCACACGGCGCACACTCACTCGGTCGTCCCCACACGGCGGCACACTCACCTCGGTCGTCCCCCACTCAGCGGCACACTCACTCGGTCGTCCCCCACACGGCGGCACACTCACTCGGTCGTCCCCATACGGCGGCACACTCACTCGGTCGTCCCCATACGGCGGCACACTCACTCGGTCGTCCCCACACGGCGGCACACTCACTCGGTCGTCCCCACACCGCGGCACACTCACTCGGTCGTCCCCACACGGCGGCACACTCACTCGGTCGTCCCCACACGGCGGCACACTCACTCGGTCGTCCCCACTCAGCGGCACACTCACCCCGTCGTCGTAGTCGTACAGCGAGCCGCCGTAGTCCTCGGGCTGCGCCAGTCTGGCCATGGTGTTCATGGGTGGGGACGGCGGCGGGGTCACTTCCAACAGTGCATCACTCGCGTCCGGTCGCGCCCGGCGCGCTCCCACTGCGCAGCCGCCGACAGGGCGTGACCCGGCGGGGTCAGGTCACTCGGTGCCCGCAGCGACCGCTCGCGCGCCTCAGCCGACGGCGGCCCGGTCACGACACATCGCCGCCCCACCGGCGGCGCGCCGTATCTGAAAAGTAAGCAGAGATATGAGCCGGGCATTCAGTGCAGCGATAGCGCGCACACCGGGGGAGGACTAGGGACCGGCGTTCCGTGCAGCGCGGCACCAGGAGACCAGACCGACCAGACAGGGACGGGGGGCGGCGACTGCGGCAGTGGGCCACTGCTCACCCCGCTTCCCAGCTGGGCGGCTAGGACAACAAAGGATGCCCAAGAGGACGTGTCCAAAGGCGCACCCAGGCGGGGCTGAAGGGCCGTCGCCGACTGAACACATCCGCTTTGTGATTCTTGTGATGATGATCGTGCGAGGCCTCTCTCGAAGCCGCGGAGATGATCCTCCATCAGTCTATTTCCAAGTCAAACCCCTGCCCCCCCCCCCTGTCAGCGTCTGGTAGCGTCCCTGTCCGCCCCACCGGGTAACGGGCTCCGTCCACACGAGTCGGCGGCGCCTCCGGATAAGCTGCGACGTCGGCTAATCGGGGCCGGCCGCTCAGAACACCGCCGCACGGGAGTACCCCGTCCCCCACTCTCCCCGCTCGCCCATGCGTCTACCCCACACCATCCCGCGTGGCGAACGTCACGTGACCGTGGCTCAGCCAATGCAGGCGCTTCGCTGTATGACCGTGACTCAGGTGACTCACGGACTCGACGTGACGGACTCGCACGTCAGGACAGGACTGAACGGAGCGGCGGGGCGAGCGTCCGCCAGCGGGCCGCGGGAGCGAGATGCATCACCGGAGCGGCGGCGGTGCATCTTCCCTCCCCCCCCCCCCCTCATCGGCCGCCACCGCTCTCCCGAGATTGGGGGCGCCACTCGATACTTGAGGGCCGATATGACTCAATGTTCGCTGCCGACATGCGACGGCTTCAGGGGCGGAGGGCGGACGAACAAGACTGCAGCGAGGTCCTAGGAAATGCAACCGTGGCCCTATGTTCCTGTCTTCAAGTGAGGCCAGAATCCACAGACATCGCACAAACCCCCCAACTGTTCGAACTGCACCCCGGGCACTGGTCGCTCACCACAGAGCCGCCAATGAGGACCCGACGGCAGCGGGCGGCTATCTAAACAGCCGGCCCTCGGCCCAGAAAAACGGTTTCGCTCAAACAAACGCCGCCTATCTCGCCCCGATTTCGGTGCGGCGTCGCACGTCGCCTTTTTTGTGCGGCGTCGCGGGCGCCCGTGCCGGCGGGTCACGGTACGGCCAGCTGAGAGGGCCGCGGCGGCCGTGCCAGCGGGTCACGGTACGGCCAGCTGAGAGAGCCGCGGCGCCCGTGCCGGCGGGTCACGGTACGGTCAGCTGAGAGGGCCGCGGCGGCCGTGGAGTCAGCCGAGGCTCGCACGGCTCCGGGCGGCGCCGGATACCGAGCCAGTCGGCAGCCGTGCCAGAGCCGTCCGCCCCCCCCCCCCCCCCCCCGCCTGCCGGGAGAGGAGGTGAGGGAGGCTCCGGCCGCCGGATGGCGAAAGCCACAACTGACTGGGTTCTGATAGCCCACCGGCTGATGATACGCCGGCTGTTTCCAGCAGCGCCCTCGCCGGTTCTGTCCAGACTCACAGTGGCAGGCGTCACAGGGTCTACGAACGCGGCGGATCTGGCCGGTCGCTGCCAGAAACACTTCAGTTTGGCCTGCATGACGTGCTCCAACGCGTGGACACCTCACAGCCACGTCGGGCTCGGATGCCGAACAAGTGTGCACACGCTGTAGCTGGCGCTGTAGCGGCGCCCGCGATGGAGGCGTGAAGACAGCGTCTTGATCAGCGCCACCGGTACGCCCGCGCAGGGAGGTGTGCCCAGCCCGGCCGGGAGACATCACGGGACGTCTGTTCCCCACTCCCGGCCATCTCGATTCCACTACAGCCAAGATCCAACTAGTCATATCGCCAGACTCGTCACACCGCACCTCCGATCTTACATCACGCTAATGCCACGCCATAAGATACGCTCGCGGCGGCGGCGCCGGTGGCCAGACACGGGGTGAGGGAGAGCGCCGCCCGCCGCGCCAGACAGCCTTGTCGGGCCGGGCGCGGCGTGTGAAGGTCGCGCCACGTGACCGCGCGGCCCCGCGCCGCCGCCGGGGTCCGGTGGTCCGTGTCGGCGGCCGGACCACCGGCGGCGCTGGCGCCCGAGTGACCGGCCGGCCGGCCCGGTGCGCTCCACTTCGCGTCAGCCGCGTCATCTCAGGCCGACGGTCGGCCCGAGCCCGAGCTGGCGGTGCTGGGCGGACGGCGCTCGGCGCAGCCCTGCCGGACGCCACGCCACCGCCCCTGAAGGCGCTCGACGCAGCCCTGCCGGACACCACACCACCGCCCCTGAAGGCGCTCGGCGCAGCCCTGCCGGACGCCACGCCACCGCCCCTGAAGGCGCTATGCGCAGCCCTGCCGGACACCACACCACCGCCCCTGAAGGCGCTAGGCGCGGCTCTGCCGGGCCGGGCTCCACCAGACGCGACGGCTCTGAACGAGGTGTCACGTGACGCAGTGTCAGTAACCGTCTGGACGGAGACAGCGCCCGACAGTGCTGTACCTGCCGGCGATGGGCATGGCAATGCAGCCAATGTCTGCTGGACTGAATCAGCAGACAGCCGGCTGTCTGCTGAGAGCCAGCAGCCGCTGAGGCCGCGTGGGTCGGCAGCGCCGCGGTGCGGGAGCAAAAACAGCCGCCCCCGAGCCGGAGACCTTGACAAGTCGAAGCCGGAGCGTCACGGGAGCCGTGGCGATGATACAATTACCAGATGTAATGATAGGCTGTCCAGGACGCGGCCACTTACCCAGCGGCATTTGTCGAGCTAAAAACTGACGCGGCGGCCCGTGGCTGGTGAGGCGATGCCGTACAGCGGTCGCCGCCATTGTCTCCGCCACTGCAGACGCATGACGTCACGTGGACGGAGAGCGCGGTCGAACAAGGCCCCTGCACCGTTTGACTGAAGCGGAGGTCACGACATGCGGCTGCGCTGGACGGGGAGCGGCCGCCGCTTCACAACGCTGCCGTGCCGACCGTTCGGGCAGGTTTCTTTTCCTTGAATCTCGGAGGACTCACGTTCTCTTCAGGAAACTGGCGACTGTTCTCCTAAAAAAGCCGACTGTTGCCTGTCGCCGATCCGAGCCCGTTATGGCCGGCTGCACGTCCCCACGCGGCAGCGGTCGGAGGGCTGCTTGCAGGTCGGCCGACTAATCAGACACGACGGCCGCCAGTCACGACCCAGGGCGGCCCGACCATAACACCGACTGGTAGCGGGCGGCAGCGAGCGGCAGCGGTCGGAGGGCTGCCTGCAGGTCGGCCGACTAATCAGACACGACGGCCGCCAGCCGCAACCCAGGGCGGCCCGACCATAACACCGACTGGCAGCGGGCGGCAGCGGGCGGCACCAACCGGCAGCGGACGGCAGCGGTCAGTAGCGGACGGTACAGCGGACTGCAGTGGACGTTACAGCGGACAGCAGCGGATGGTAGTGGACGGCGGTGGACGGCAGCGGGCGGCAGTGAACTGCAGCCGGCGGCATTGGACTGCAGTGGACATCACAGCGGACGGCAGCGGATGGCAGATGGCAGCGGACGGCAGCGGATGGCAGCGGGCGGCAGTAGACGACAGCGGGCGGCAGTGAACTGCAGCCGGCAGCATTGGACTGCAGTGGACGTCACAGCGGACGGCAGCGGATGGCAGATGCAGCGGACGGCAGCGGATGGCAGCGGGCGGCAGGGAACTGCAGTCGGCAGGATCGGACTGCAGTGTACGTTACACCGGACCGCAGCGGATGGCAGCGGGCGGCAGTGGACGACAGCGGGCGGCAGCATCGGACTGCAGTTCACAACGCGACAGAGGTCAGCGAGGACGCCCAGCCAGCTCCAGCCACCGTAAGCGGCCGCGGCAGGCTTCTGTGCATCAGCCGCCGCCGCCCGCCGACACTGCACGGCAACACGAACACGGTCACCGCCGGCCGCCGACGCACCGGGCGTCGAGCTCGGTGCGTCGGCCGCCCACCGTCAGGCAGCGCTGCACAGCCCGAGGTTCCTCTAATGACGGGTCCAGTCACGGCCGCTGACGGCCTGATGACGGCTTGACGACGGGCCGCGCGGCCGCCCACCGCCGGTGACGACAGGCGCGACCCGTCGCCCCGCTCCACCCGCCGAGCCGTGGCCGAGCGGTCCGATTCGCCCCGGTCCGGTCCGGTCCGGTCCGCCCCGGTCCGGCCGCTGCCGCCCGAGTAGCGCCGACGGTCGGCGAGCACAGGCGGCGGGGAGCGCGCTCGTGGCCGCCTCCACCCGCCGCGCTGAAGTTTCATTCCGGCCGGATTCGCGGCGGGACGGCGGGACGGCCGTGACGAATCCCGGCCGGGCGGAGGCAGAGCCGGCGCTCGGGCTGCACGCACCGCCCACCGCGCCTCACGTCACCGGCTCACCGCGTCTGACGTCACCCAACCAGGATGGATGATGTCATCGACTTCGGCCTGCGGTGTCTGACGTCACCGTTTAAAGCCCGTCGCCGCCCCGCGGGGAGACTCGGGACTCTCCACCGCCGCCAGCCAGTCAGCAGACTCACGAGACGGTGGTGTGATAAGGCTTCCGTCCCAGCCCCGGCCATGCTCTGCGGGCCACCAGGTGCGGACGGCTCGGGTGGCTGCCGCCCAGCCGCCGCGGCTCGGCGGGGGTCGGCCGGAGCGGGAGGAGCGGCGCGTGCGGGCGGCGGCCGCTGATGGACCGCCGCTTATCTGGCGGACGGCGGCGGCCCGGCCAGATAGCGCTGGCGGTGCTCTGATAGGGCTGATACGGGTACCAGCAGCCGACGGCCAGACGGGACGCCCGGGCAGACGCGGGTCAGCCGCGACGGTCAGGCGGCACCCGGCGCCCACCACACCCCCGAGGTGTCGCGGCAGCCGGGTGAGGGCCGACTCTACCGCGGACGAGACGGCGAGGACGTCACACTGGTCACGGCGTCACGCCGCGCGCCGGAGTCACGCCATACCGGCACGCGGCTCACTCCTGCACACTCAAACTGCGGCCGCTGCTGTGCTGTG